TGTGATATCATGTCTATGAGAATAATCATTATTAAAATTTAAAATATATAATTATTTTACTAATATCGGCCTAATATTATTAGATTAAACGGCTGTTTTACAAAAGGATTGATCCTTATATAAAACTATTTCAGCCTAAAAACAAGTGAATGATTGAATGCTACTACGAGGATAATATCGATGATACTGGTAAACCTCTAGATGATTACTCGAATTGGGTATTATCTGATGAAGCTCTAAAAAAGTATAATTTAACTGCAAAAGATTTTGATGCTAATTATTCAACTAGTGATAAAGACTCAAGAAAAAAGAAAAAAAAGGTAAGCAAAAAGAGCAAAAAAATAAAAGAAGAAGGTAGTAAGAAAAAAAAAGAAAAAGATATAGGTGGAGCAGGGGATATTGGGAAGGAAAAAGGTGGAGTGGGAGATATTGGACAAGAAAAAGCTGGAGCAGGAGATATTGGAAAAGGACAAGATGGTGCAGGAACAAAAAGAAAAAGTAGCTATGCAGATGACGATGATAGTGATAATGATAGAGTAGTACTGTAGAAATGACAAAAAAAAAAAATAGAAGAGAGACAAAAGAAAAAAATGAAAGAGGCTGAAGAAAGTGAAGAAGAAACCTCTTCAGATAATTTGCTCTCTGAACATGAGGCAACCTTAAGTGAACTATTAATAGCTGAAGCAGCAACAAAAATAGCAGTAACAAAAACAGCAGCAGCAACAACAGCAATAGCAAAAACAGTAGCAACAAAAACAGCAGCAACAAAAACAGCAGCAACAAAAATAGCAGCAACAAGAACAGCAATAGCAAAAACAGCAGAGGTAACAACAGTAGCAACAAAAACAGCAATAGCAAAAACAGCAACAGCAAAAACAGCAATAGCAAAAACAGCAGAGGCAATAACAGAAAAAAGTGCTGACGAACTAATAGAGATAGTAACACCAGTATTAAGTCCATTAAGGGGTAAATTACTTTCAATAGGACCTAGTGAACTATTAACATCAAAAAAGGTAGCCAATAGAACTAAAAAAAAACTAACCAAAAAAATATCTGAAGAAGATGATTTATTAATATTCAAAGCAGAAGAAGTTGAAAGTGAAGAAGTTGAAGATAAAGAAAGTGAAGAAGAAGGTGGAGAAGAAAATAGGGAAGAAGGTAGAGAAGAAGGTGAAGAAGAAGATGGAGAAGAAGGTAGAGAAAAAGGTAGAGAAAAAGGTGGAGAAGAAGGTGAAGATAAAAGAAAAAAGAAGAGAAAAAGGAGAGATAATAGTGATAAGAAGTCAAAGAGAAAGACGAAAAAGAGGCAATAGTTTATAAATGTATAATTTTTATTTTACTTTATGTATTTTAAGTAATAACTAGAGAA